ACAACTTTTTACGGAGATCTATATACTTTTTACGACAGAACTTGCAGAAAAACTGACGAACAAACCATTTTCTATACGTAATTAATAATAGGTCTCCAAGATTTAATTTTCACATGTTGTTTTACAAATCTTACAAAACGATTAAGACTGGAGATTTAGCAGATACTAATCCATATTTAGTTGGAGAAACCGAGAGAGAATAAAAAACATTGTCACCTTTCTTAAATTTAATGAAACAATTATTTTTAAATTTTTAGAAATAATTTTTACTTGAAGTTTATTCATTTTTTACCTCAATTTATGTTTTTTATGACAATGATTTGATAAAAAAGTGAAAAATCAAATAACGTAGAAATAATGCATATATTTCTTCCCTTTTCAATATAACTTAAGTCACCTAAAACCATATCTTCAGTTTTGCAACAACAGCTTAAGTCGACTTAAATTTGACAAAAATGCAAAAGTAATTTTTCCCAAATCGCCTAAGTCGAGATATGCTTTGCAAAGTTTCATAATTTCATACTTTTTTCATAATTATGAGAATACTATTAGTTGTTTTACTTCAGATTATGAGTCAATCGCTTCCTTTTTTATTTATCTTTCGATCAAAAAAAAATTGGTTCAAAAACTTCATAACTTTTTTCAAAATTTAATTTAAAGTTTTAAATGTATTTATCTCGAAATCACTAAAACAGACTTAAGTCGTTTGTGCTTGAAGCCACTACAATTTTCTTCTAAAAAAAAAAAATTATTAGTTTCTAAGAGCAGCTGAAATTTAAACTTTTACAACCTGGGATCTAGAAGAAATACGACATAAAAAAATTTGGAAAAAATGGATTTTAGATAACAGTAAATTTTAACAGCCATTTTGTTTCTTTAAAATTCAATTGTGCTATGCCGCGGTAGAAGAAGCCAGCAACTATTTTTCTGCGTTTGTAAAATTTAAAAAATTCTTATGGTTTCACTGCAATAAATAGTTAAAAAAATGGAATTTTTGTGGTTTTGGTGGGAAATTTTCACAATTTTTAGAGTTTGGGAAGTAGGTAAAAATGTTCTTCTACGGAAATAAGTTTCTAGTAAAGATTTATGTACATATAAAATTTCAACTTTCAATCATCACGGAACGGGCGGACGGACAGAGTTAGAATAAGAAAAAGAACTTTTTGTCAAAAAATGTTGGCAAATGTGCTAAAGATATCATCGATTTTACCGACAATTACTTAATTAGCTGTAACTCTAAAATTTTGACGTTTGGCATAATATTATATATTTTATATATATATATATTTTATAAAACAAAAGTTAGTTTTAAATAAAATTTAAAGCAGTTTTGCCTGTGCAGTTTGTTTCGATACTTTACATTTCTATTCTGAGTTATTCTGAATTCTACAAATGTGTGACGCAAAATTTTTTTTATCTTCTATGTTTTGTTGGATATCACCAGCTAAATACATATTTTTCAAAAATTAAAAAACCTACCGTTTATTTTAGTATTTCTTTTTGAAATAGAATTTTTGTTTTGTAAAACTTTATATGAGTTATCTATTTAAACTTTAAAATTATATTGCTGCGTGTACATTTTATTTCAGAATAGGTGGCAAAATTCACAAAAAAATTTTGTTATATGGCAAAATGATTCAGTAAAACCTTAAATAACTCATTAACCCTGCAACCTAGCCTGCAATACCACAAAATTTGATAGATTCATAGATGATCTTAAGAACTTTGTCTTTTGACAGATATTCCTTAAAATCATCTATGAATCTATTATATAAAAATAACTGCGATTTCCCAAAATTTTATTTTTTAGTGTACAATGTTGTACATAATTTTTGAATATTTTATTAAATTTTTAAAATATAAAATATTATGAGTGGATGATACCAACAGGGAAAACCGCCATAAAAACAATGATTCTTTACGTTATAGGTGGTGTTGAAAAAACAATTAGAAAAAAATCTAAATAAACTAAAATATTGAATTTCAATAAAAATTATTTTAAGAATTAATTAGGAAACAATGGTTTTATTTTAATTTCATATGTTTTAATATTTTTTTAAAGAATTTTATGTAGTAGCCTCAATTCCAAATTTTGACATATTTGACTAAAATAATGAATAGTCAATAGTCAGAAATATCTAAATTCCAAAATTTAAAATTTTTTTAACTAGGATAGATAGAAAATTCCATTAGAAAGCAAAAAAGTTTAGAATGCCAGTCTAATTATGTATGTACATTGTGCATACATACATACATGCATAATATATTATATAACTGTTTATCTCAAATATCGAAATAGTTGTTTAAAATAAATATCTCTCTTTTTAATAAACGTTCTAATAACTTCCTTTAGATTAAAATAATTAGTAATCATATCTAGTGTTGCTCCTGTGTAAATATTAGAGTTCATTTTGAAATTGGGAAATCATGCGCATGTCAAGAAGAACTTCTGCATAAATCAATAATCAATATGCCTAATAAAAAATTCAGGTATATGTACCAGGGCTGTCGTTTGGGGTCCGAACCTTTTGCTCCACTATTCGGTAAAAAGCTAATAACAAGTGTTTATACCTAAGCATATTTTTTAATTCGCATGTTTTACGTGAAGTTTTTTTTTTCGTTCTTGGTATGTATTTTGTGTTTGAATATGATTTACTATTGGAAAAGTAATATTTTCTGCGATATATGTACACCTAAAATTTTGTAAACCTGTACATTCAAGCAGTAAAATCAGAAAGAAAATAACCTCAAAAAGCGTTTGTCTTTTTCAATATCATAATTTGACAAGTTTCTATAATACGGTCAAATAAAACATTCAACCCCACGCAAAAACCTATTAAACATAATAAAACACGAGTCAAAAAAAAGACTTTCTTTTCTGTATCAACTTTCCCATATTTTGCTGCAGCTCCTCAAGTTTCTAAAAAAAAGAAAAAAATTTGACTTATAAAAATACGTTTTGGTATATGATTCTTGTTTTGCAGTGAAATAGCTACTATGAAAGAAACTTTAACTGAAGATTTAGCACCTTTGCATCCATATTCATTTCTTGAATCACATTTACATTCATAATGTCTTAACGACTTAAATAACCCTTTAGATATCATCTTAACGGTTAAATATGTTGTGTCTAAAAGAGACACGTCATATTTAACCATCAAGTATGAAGTTTCAGATATAGACTGGTCATCATTAAATATTATATTACAAGAATAATCTGCACTGAATTAAGTATAATCAGAATATATTAAGTACAATCAGAAAAGCATAAAGAGTATTTTAAAGCACTAAAATGTTGGTCTCCCTTTAAATCACAAAAGTTTCGTTTTTTTGCAAAACCGGCTACTTTATGAAATTGAAAACGGCAGCTCTGGTACGTACATATGTATGTAGGTAACAACTAAGTTTAAAAGAATTTTAAATTTGTATTAAGATTGAAAGAGTTTTCATTTTAAAATTAGTAGGAAAGCATTATTAAAAATCAGCATAATACGTCGCAATGCCTTTACTAAGAAAAGCTGCCAAGAGCAAAAAAGGGCCATATGTAACAGTATGCAAAATACAAAATTCTACAAGAAAAGGATTTTCTCAAGTCTTAGAGAAGATTTTCCTCGATATATTGAATTAATGCTATCGTAAGTAATTTACAGCATTTATTCTGATGAATTAAGTCAATAACTAACGCCAATAGAAACATAATGGCTCATTGCCTAAAAAATTATGCAATTCAATAAAATCAAAACAAAGCCAGCAAAATATCAATTTGGAATGTTAAGTAGAATTACATTTCAGAAGAAAGTTACAATTGATCCATTTTATAGTAAATTGTGTGTAATTACAAACTTATTATTTAAGAGCTTCATTCATTTCTGTCACATTTCCAAAAAAAATTGTTTGGTGATCGATTGGAATATTTGTTCGATTGAATTTTGTTGAATTGTGCAAAATACAATGCAATTTTATGTCAAATAAGTTGTGTATATTTTAGATAGATGTATGAAGTTTCAAATATGAATTGGTTATCAGTGAATATTAAATTACAAAGAGTTCCGCATCGAATTAAGTATAATCAGAATATGTATAAGCATAGACTTAATTTTAAAGTATTAGAGTATTGGGCTCCTTTTTAATTACAAGAGCTCGGTTTTGTTTGCAAAATCAGTTACATTGTGATTTTATAATCTTGGCAGTTCAAAAGTAGTTAAGCTAAAAGAGCGGCCTTTTTCATTTTGTTTGATATACAGCATGTACATATGTATGTAGATAAATTTATTTATCTAACCCTTTTAGTTTTAATATTAAAAATAAGAAAAAATAAATTAACAAGATTTGAATCACTGGCGATTGTTGAATAAAATACTAACTATCTCATTACTATTATCAAAAACTAAAAACATGGTCATTTTAAAAAGTGTGATTCAACGAGTTAGCACCTTCAAAGTAATATAACAAAAACATTTAGTTTCTCGAATTGGAAGGTGAATATTTCAGTACATGAAGTTTAAATTAAAATTATATCAGGTACTGAAATTTAAATTACAACCTGGCAATAAATACAATTATACATTATAACTGCATTAAATGGTTACAAAATTTTAAGTAGCTTTTCTCTATCTAGAAAAATGAAACATTTTGGACGTTCAAAGATTTTTAAATGCATTTTAAAAGTGTCATTATGCCAGAAATGCAATTGATATAATTTTTAAAATTCTTATTGCAAAACTAAGATCTATTATAGCAACATCCTGACACTGTTGGTGATGAGTAAGAATATTTGATACTCATATATACGAGTATGTGTTACATATCTATACATATACCATTTTTGAATTCTTGCAAGGTAATTCAACGTTGACAGTACGAATAATGAACACGTGAAAAAAAACCAAACGCAAACAATGAATTTTTCTTTTTATAAAAGAAAAACTTATCGTTTGCTTCTTTTTGTTCGTGCAGAGTCTGGAAAATTATAAATATTTGTTTTATTTTTCTTGTTACAGGTGGTTTCCCAACTTTTCCAAAGGCCACAGAATTCTAGGAATATGTTTCATTATTATTATTTTGTTATTTACTGCTGGCTACTTAGGTTTAACTCTTGGACTCGGTGCTTATAGTCCAAGTGAGACAGATTCTGAAGAAGGTAAACATACATACGTACCTACACATAGTACTAAATTAAGTTAATTTTGGGACAATGATTATTTAATTTTATCTTAATATTCTGTTCTAAGTTTTTAAAACAGTTTCAATACCCAATGTTGAGCCGTTCATACCAAATCCACAAGTAACCCAAGGTCCTTCAGCTTCAACACTTCATATGTTTGCAAATGGCGGAGTTTGTTCAGACAGCGCACTTTGTAGTGCTATTGGAAAGTAGTTAATTATTTTTTTATTTTATTTTTTTGTATGCCTTTAGGAGACAGAATTAAAGTTTAATTCAGTCATCTTATTAAAAAAAATTAGCTCTGTTCGCTCACGAGATTTTTTTTACCAAAAATTTTAAAAAATGTAGTTTTTTGACAATCACATTATTGTCAAGAATAAAAATTTAATAGAGTTACTTTCAAGTTTTGTCTCATAAAGGTACCTACATACAGTGAGCGACATAATTAATCGTACGCATGATAAAAGCGCCCGATTTTGTATTTCTAAAACGTATACGAAAATGAAATTTTGTAGGAACACTTGATTGAATATATGTTTGAGTTTAGCTACAAAAAATTGTGAGAAATGCGAATGAGTAATCCTCAAATTTGCACATTAGTTTTTTTCCTACTTATTTTTGCGACATATTTAATCGTACGATAAATTTAAGGTTATTTTTCTGATGAAAATTTTAGAATTTTATAAAAATTTTGAGTTGTTATCATTCTTAGAGGCATTTTTGAATGCAATGCGTTTATTTTTGTAGAAATTTTAATGGTCAGTATTTAATATTAGTTCGATATGGTTAACGATAAAGAATCCAGTATTGAGTTCAGAGAACTCGCAATAAAATACCACTCGGAAGGGTTTTCTTTGGGTGAAATAGCTAAAATCGAAAAGGGAGTAAATCAACTGTTAAAAATTTTAAGAAAACTGGTTCTGTTCGATACAGGAAAAAAACTGGGAGGCCTAGGAAATTGGAGAAACGTGAAGAAAGACAAGTTTTAAAAAAAATAAGGCAAAATCCTAAGTTAATTGGTATCAAAATAGCTAAATCAATTTCAGAAAGCTATAAGAAAGATGTTTATAGTCGTACAATTCAAAGAATACGAGTATTAAACAGAAGTGGTTTTCGTGCCTAAGAATATTCCAAGAAAAAAACCGTTTATATCAGATACTAATAAGAAAAAGCGAATGGAATTTGCTAAAAGTCATATTAATTCAGATTTATCTCGTTGGAAAAGGGTAATTTTTTCTGACGAGAGTAAATTTAATATTTTTGGACATGATGGGCCATCTAAAATTTAGAGAAAACAAGAGGACGCACTCAATACAAAAAATTTAGTATCCACTGTAAAACATGGTGGAGGCAATGTTATGGTTTGAGGATGTATATCTTGATACGGAGTTGGAAGTCTTGAATTTATTGATTGCAAAATGGATAAATTTCATTATTTAAATATTCTTAAGGGTAATTTAAAAGAATCGGCTCGAAAAATGTGTTATAAAAATGAATGGATTTTTCAACAGGAGAATGATCCTAAACGTACCTCAGGTATTGTAAAGGAGTGGCTTCTCTTTAATGTACCAAAGCAACTTCATTCCCCTCCAGAATAACCGGACCACAACGCTATAGAGCACATTTGAAATTTTTCAGAAAATCAACTTGGCAAACACAAGATAACTTCCAAGGTTACCCTCAAAACTGCCATTAAACGAGAATGGGAGAATATACCAATTAAATATTTACAAACTTTGATTGAATCAAAGCCAAATAGATTGCAAGAGGTTCAAAAATGATGTGGTGGCAACACTAAATACTAAACAAGGAATTAGAATTGAAAGTCATTATAAATAATTTGGTTAAAATTATGTGTACGATTAAATATGTCGCGTTTTTAAATGAATTTTTTATGTTTTTTGTTATAATTCAAATTTTTTTTATAATTTTTGCAAAAATTTCAATTGAATTAATAAATTTATTTGTTTTAATTTTGTTTCTATTTAAAAATTGGGTTAGTTTATTTAATTTCGTTTTTTATTAAGGTTTTTTCATTCGTACGATTAATTATGTCGCTGACTGTATGTATATATAATAAAGTTTGGGTTATAAAAAACCATAAATATACTCAGTTTTAAATTTTTATAACTTTGGAGAATATTTTATTGATTAAGGTTTTGTTTTTTATTTTCGATATAATATGTAGGCTGATACTGCAAAAGGGGGGTAATGTAGTGGACGCAGCTATTTCAGCACTTCTTTGCAATGGTTTAACAACATTGCAAAGCATGGGCATAGGAGGAGGATTCCTAATGAATTTATACATTAAAAGTGATAAAAAAGCTTGGACCATTGATGCCCGAGAAGTAGCTCCTCTTCAATCTGAAAAGAATATGTTTATTAATCTGTCTTCAAATTCCGCGATACAAGGGCCACTCTCAATTGCTGTTCCCGGTGAAATAGCTGGTTATGGAGAAGCACTAAAGCATTTCGGAACAATGAAATGGAAAGATTTGATTGAACCCTCAATAAAGATATGTGAAACTGGATTTAAGTTAACCAAACATATGTACGATTCTTTACACATTAACCCAATTATCAAAAATGATACTCACTTGAGAAAAATGTTTGTAAATAACAAAACCAACAGCTTTTATCCGATAGGAACAGTTGTATACCCATCCAAAGAATTATGTCAAACATATAAAATTTTAGCTCAAGAAGGGCCTGAGTCTTTTTATAAAGGAACGCTGGCTGATCTAATAGCTGATGATTTGAAGGATTTAGGTAGCATTATCGTGAGAAGTGATTTAAATGTGTACCATGTCGATATGGTTCAATCAATTCCTGTCCGCTTGACTTCAGATTCCATAATGTATGTGATTCCACCAGCTGGAAGCGGGGCTTTAGTATCGCATATCTTAAATATTTTGAGGGGGTATAACATGTCTAGAGAAAGCATTTCAAAAGATTCTGCTAGCATTTTGACCTATCACCGTATTATAGAAGCATTTAAATTCGCCTATGCAAAAAGAGCTTCTTTAGGTGATTTGAGATTCAATCCCGAAGCTGCATATGTAATAGAGATTGTGGTTACTGATTCGATCAAATAAATAATTTTTATTTTATCTATTTTTTACAGCTAGTAAGTAATTTAACTTCAAACATGTACGCCAACGAGGTTCGAAATTTAATTTTTGACAATAAAACTTTTGATGATGGTAAATATTATGGAGCAGAATTTGACCTGAAGCCGGATAAAGGAACTTCCCATTTGTCATTTCTCGGACCTAATGGAGATGCTGTTTCAGTTACAAGCACTATTAATTTTTAGTTAAATATTGTTTAAAGTTTTAAAAATCTTATTTTTGTTTCATTAGTTAAATGCTTTCAGTTTCGGATGTGGCCTCACTGGAAAACGAACTGGAATTATTTTTAATAGCGGCATGGATGATTTTTCGCAACCAAACAAACTAAGCTTTTTTGAGCTTCCACCATCTGAAACAAATTTTATTGTGCCAAGAAAGAGAGCGTTATCATCGATGAGTCCAACTATTATAACGAATGGGAAAGGTGATGTTTTTTTAGTGATTGGAGCAGCTGGTGGGGCAAAAATTCCAAGTGCCGTAGCTCAAATAATAGTGAGAGTTCTATGGTTCGAACAAGACATTAAACAAGCTATCGATGCTCCCCGCATACATCATCAGCTATATCCAAATGTAGTCGAATATGAACTTGGAGTACTGCAAGTAGGTTTATTTTTGAATTGAATTATGAAAATTGAAAGATATCTCTTATTTAAGAGCGTAATCGATGGTTTAGAAAAATTAGGTCACAAGACAAAAAGGTATCGTGATCGTGGATCTATAGCATGCGGAATTTATAAAAACGAAACAGCCCTTTACGTGAATGCTGATTACAGGAAGGAAAGTGGTGCAACAGGATTTTAGTTTTATATAAAACATTTCTAGCGTGAAATAATATTTTCCTTGTTTTACAGTTGAGTAGGAATATTTTCGTTTGAATATATGCAAATATTATAATATTAAATGTAATTATTATGATATTAAACATTTTATTTTTATCATTTTACCATGGGTTTTTCATATTGCTCTTCCTCGGTTTAACATTATCGTTATCTCCGTGGTATAATTTGGAGTTGCCCTAAGGAATGCCAGGAGTACAATATGGAAGACAACGTATTAAGATCTCGCGTGGATTGCTTGGCGTTTGTTGATATCTATGATCAATTTAAGGAACTTTCTGAACTCCTTTATGGGTGTCATCTTCATCGCGTTAGGAGTGAGATTTTTGTTAATTCTAGAAATTTTTTTGAATTAGTTAACAGTAAGTGTGTTTCCTATGGTTATCCTTCATCTTGGCAATTTCTTGGTTAGACCTCAAGTGACCTTGATCACTTATCGGACTTTTTTGCTTATGATTTTTCTGGCGCTTTTGTGGGTAGTGGGGACTTTTCTGTTGATGAATCTTATTTTGAGTCGATGTTGGTGAAATTTTCGGGCTCTTATAGTTTTGATGTAGGTGAGATAGTTATTGATGAGTTTGACGTCCTGCAACATTTGTTATCTTTTGGTCATGATTATTCTTCTGGTCCTGATAGGGTTCCTGCTATTGTTTTGCAAAAGTGTGCTTGGAGTCTTGCTAGTCCACTCAGTTTTCTTTACCATTTGTCGCTTCATAGTGGAGGGTTTGCAGACGTTTGAAAGAATTCTTTTGTTATTCCGGTTCCTAAGCGGGGCCCGCATAATCTAATTAGTAATTATAGGCCCATTGCTAAGCTGTCTACTATTCCCAAGTTCTTCGAGAAAATCCTATATGATTATTTTTACTCTTATTGTGGACCATATATTATTCCTAATCACCATGGTTTTCAGAGGGAGAGGTCTTTCGTAACTAACTTGGTTGAATTTGTTTTTGAAACTGTACAGTTTCTGGAGTTGGGTGATTAACTCGATGTAATTTTTACTGATATTAATAAGGCATTTGTTAGAATCCCGCATGATATCATTATTTTAAAGCTGAGCAGTATGGGCCTTTTTCCTCGTAGTTTTTCGTGAGTTTCCACTTATTTGTTTGGAAGAGTTTGTCAGGTACTGTTTCGTTCCTGTTTCTCGGGTTCTTCTTTTGCTGCTCTGGAATTCCCTCATTTTGGTCTTGTTTTCTTTATTCTGGTAACTAAATGGCCTTGATGGGTTCACATTATGATGTAACAGGAATGGTTCATAGCTCAATATAGGCAAGTTTCTTAATGGGAAAGTTCTGGACAGGATTGAAATTTCAAATTGTCATTTAAGTAATACGTGGGATTGTCGGGTTGATTTTAAGATCTATTTAAATTTGCTGGTTAATAGGGTGACTTCTACTCTTGGTTTTTTGATGAGATGGTGTAGAGAATTTAATGATCTTTTTGTAGCGAACATCTTTATGTTGCTTTTGTGAGGCCAGTTTTAGAATATGCGTGTCAGGTTTGGCTTCCTCTTCGGTACGTTGATATACATCATATTTCCTTCCTTTTGTTGGCTGCCCCCTCATCAGAATACGCTTCAGTTTTTGGATGTAAGGTCGCTCCGTTGTCGTAGGTTAGTTTCCAATATACTTTTCATTCAACAACTCGTGGTGGGAGGTGTGGTTGCCACGGTTTTTTTGGGTCGGATTTCTTACAGGAAGAGTCCCAATAACTTGAATAACGTGCCGTGTCATAGTGCGGACTATGGGATGCATGTGATGGTGACATATATGTTGTGAGAAGTTAAATTGTATTCGTCTGTTTAGTTCGAATTGTACAAGCGTATGTAAGAGGGTGTTTAAGGCCAGACTTTACGGTAGCATTGATTTTATTTAATTTATTCTTATTTTGTATGACGCTTTCTATTGACTCGCTGTGCAGTAGTTGCATAGTTTGAGTTTGCCAGTTTATATCTTAATTTACCAATTAATCTTAAATTCTTGCCACTAATATTATCTTGTTCTTCCTATTTCCCTTTCCCCTTCCTTTCCATACATAAATGATGACGATTTTAGTTATAGTTGCTGATAGTCACGTTTATTGGCTGAGTGATGTTTATTATTCTGTATCAGATGCTTGTATTAAGTAATCGTCTGGTATAAAAATTATCCACCATTACATCTGATATATTCTGATCCTATTTCTGCAAGCTATAATGGATAATTCAATGAATAATTGGAATTTTAAAATTCTTGCCCATTTAACGATGTTGCAGAACTCAATCCGTTAAGTTGAAAGTCATGCAACATCTTGGGTTATATAAAAAAACCACCTTAACAAATAAGAATATAAAATATTAAAAAACATATAAATATATGCCAAAAATATCAACTTACTATTTTAATTTTACATTTATGGCTTTCACAACTCCTCAAAGAGACTACGAGTTTGTCAGGATGCCATTAGAATTGAAGAACGCTTCTTCAACATTCCAAAGAATGATTAACAATTTTTCACGCGATCTTATCAATGTTAACTGTGTTAATAATCGTGACGATATATGTATTAATTTTCAATACTTCTTTTCAAGAACACGAAAACGCTTTAACAAAATTTTTGAGAGTCTTATATGTATGTTTTAAACTAAAAATTTAAATTGATAAATTTCTATTTTTTTCAAAGGAGTCGGAATATTTGAAGCATCTTCTCACTGCTGAAGGAATCAAACTCAATCCGAAAAGAATTAAAATAAAACGTTTTCTAGGCATTAAGGGGTACTATGGTAAATTTATGTGATTATGCGAAAATTAGTCAAACCTTAACTTATTGCTTAGCAAAGAACAATAAGGTAGATACGAGTATTAGGTTTGTCTGGAATTAAACTTTAAAATTAACGAGAAACAATGTAGAAATTTTTCTTAAAAAGAAAAAAAATTCTCACTTAAAAAAAATAAACCAGACAGAAAACTTGAAAAATATTTTAAAAACAAATATATTATAGTTATACCAAAAACCGAATATTTTGATTTTGGATTTCACACTTTTAATTTAGAAAAAATGATTTATGAATCCATTTTGGTTATATTATTTTTAATTGAAAAGTTTTGAAAAAAAAACTTATTGTTGATATTAAAATATCCTAATTTTAACCAAAAGGTTAAGTTGACAATTGGAACTATCTTATATCTTTTGCAAGTAAAATATTAAAAGATCATGAAACACGCTATAACTACATCGAGAAAGAACTGCTAGTTACGAAATATTTTAGGCTCCTGCATTTGTTGTGTTAAATTTACAATGAAAACAGGCCATTTATATTGTATTCAAATTTAATTTTAAATTTGTATGGCATATTTGGTTAAACTCATGACCTGCTCCAAATTACAAAGATGCAGAATAAAATTAGATGAATTCAGTTTTGATATAGGATACCCCAAGGGCAAAAATAATAAAATTGCAGATTGTCTAAGTAGATTTAACATTAAAAAAAATTAAATTAGTACTCGTATGTTGCAACCTAATGATGGGATGGAAATTGAAATCGATATTTATGGAAATGTTTTATCGACAACATTCCAATATACAAAACACCACGAATAAATATTTAAAACAAATTCATCTTGTAAAAAACAAAATTAGCGATTATAGTAATTAAATTTACTAATTTAATTTTACAAAGAAAATTAATTGAATCTTTTGCTAATAATAGAAAAATTAAATTTATTTGTAAAAAAAAACTAATCATCCTGGAGTATTAGAAAATTTTATTAAATCATATTAAATTAAATCAAAGATAGTTATTTCTATCCAAAATCAAAAGATTTTATTTATAAGTTCGTAAATAGTTCCGATGTTCATAATTGAGCTAGAAGGCGATTCTAAGACAAATCAATTATAAATATTTGTTATTTAAAAAAAGAAGTATTTTTTGTGAAGATTTATAAGTTCGTGAAGCATTTTCTAGCTATATAAAAATATAATATAAAAATGATGGAAATAATGTAAGGTTAAGTCAAGCCTTAAGACAATAAAAATCATTATTTGGTATGCCTTTAAAACGTAATTCAGTTCGATAATTTTAATCAGATTAACTTTCAAACTTTCAAATGACTTTTTAATGGAAAACAAAAACGTATCTAAGCAACTGCAATATTTGCAAATAAGTACAAACATCAATATTTCGAACGACGAATTTGGGAAAATCCAAGAAAACTTGACCTTTTCCAATTACCAAATAATGACTATCAATATTAACGCTAGAGAAATTACATAGGTCTTTATAATATAGACGATTTTAAAATTCGGTGACTTAAAACTTCCTTTGCAACAACAAATGATATAATAATAACCCAATGTTGTATGTATGTTAGTTTGTCGGTCGGTTACAATCTTGATGGCTTTTTTGAATGGTTCTAACATGAAAGCGGCTTAACACAGAAAGCTGGAGTTTAGACCTTTGGACACGGCTCCGCTTCGTGATTGTTTAAGTGATTATATCAAGTGATTTTTTGAGTGACTTTTTTGAGTGATTTTCTTGACGATGATTTTTTGGTAATTGTCCTAATAAAAAATTTTGATTTGTTTTTAAACTTCTGTCAAAAAAAAAATAATGAATTCTTGGGTCGCTGAAAATAAATTTTTTTGTGGCTTTAAACGGCTAAAAGTAATCAAGGTAACTTTCGGTATTATTATTATAGATAATGTTATTTTATAGTATACCTGAAAAATCTATTTTAATCAAAAAACACTCAAAAAATAACTGGAACAATTTTATTTAAAATTCCTGATTCACTTATGATGTTTCCACTCATGACGTCATCATTAAAAAATCACTCAAAAAAGAAATATTCAAAAAGAAATTAAGTACTTAGAAAATTTTTTCTCCGTAATACCGTCCCGACGCACAACTGCGTACAAACGGACGACCAAAAAAAAACCGTTAAAAACTCAAAAAAGCCATTCAAAATTGATATTGTAGCTAAAAAGTCATCATTAAAAAATTAAAAAAAAATTACTCAAAAAATATTAAAAATAAATACTCCAAAAAATTACTTATAAGTAACACTACTTAAGCGCTTCCATTGAAGGTTGCGCAGAAAAGTGGTGGGGAAGTGGATGGAGTGGC